CAGCGAGCCGAGGCGTGGCTTGAACGATGGCACATACTTGGGCAGATGAGTTCGTGGGGCGAGGTCCCTAAAATACGTTTAAAAAGTCAACATTAGCTTCCTCACTTCTTCACCGGCGACATCCGGCGCACCACGACGTCGTCGCTGAACGATTTCTGGGCCGGCGCGGGCTGTGGGGTGGGCGGCTCATCCTGGTCGGCCTCACCTTTGCTGCGAAGACGGAAGCTAAAGAAAAGTGAGAATTTTGTTGCAGCAACGAAAAAAAGTTACCTCAGTCTTGGAGCTGACGGCTTTTTCTGAACCGATGTTTTCCTAGTCAAGCCTATGCCCTCTTGTCGTTGGACGAGCGCTAAAAAGGATCTCATGACAGAAGCAGAAGCCATACTTCGTTGCACAACATCATCCACGATGGAGTCCATTTGTTCGTCATCTCCAGGCTGAAGTTGAGGAGGCACCGGGGCAGCAGGGTCGAATTCCGCTAAAACGCCAATTGTATGAAATCTCAAGCTGATATGAACAAATTTCCGAAATAAGCCTCTTACCAGATTCATTTGGGAATTCGCTTGCCGACAAGGTCGTTGAAGCCTCGACGTCTGGTTTTTGTTCAGCATCGTTCTTGTCTGCCGCTTCGGATGTTGATGGCTGGCTCGACACGTCGATGCGCTTCGGGTTGGGTTTTTTTGCGGCGCATCGAGGTCTAAACAAAATATTGACGATGAACTTTATAAAAAAAATTACCGCATTGTCAGCTGGTGTTGGTGATAGCGATCTCACGGGGCGACGTTGGCGGGTGACCGGCAACTCTTCTAAATTATCAATGAGAGTCAGTAGTATGTTTATATCAGCCTACTTTCCTCTTTTGCTTGTTGCTCATAAAACTCTAATAAACGCTCATAATGGCACATGCGAAAAAGTAAATAACGGTCTAGACGCTTTCATTACTTGTTACTGGATTCGTGAACAAAGAAAGGAAAACCACGATAGGCTGGATGAAAAGTATGCGAAATTAACGTAGACAATCAAAAAGTAATGAAAATAAGGCTAAAACAAGTAAAAACAATAATCACCTTTTGATGTGCTCGGGGTCGCCGCATCCTTGTTTCCCCGCAGAGTGCCCTTCTTTACCAATCGCTTATCGCACACCTCGAAATCTTCGAAGCGCGTAGGCGGCTGTACTTGACGTCGCGAACGCGAGGGTTGAGCTTCAACAGGCTCGCGTTTGACCGAAGCGCCGCCCCCAGCACTCTTGCGACTTTTGCGTTGTATTGGTGTGGATTCTTGGGCAGGCTTTTCGTCGGCTTGCTGCTCGACCTCCGGTTCTTCCACCTTTTCAGGGGCTGGAAAGTCGTAAATAATTGTTTCGAAAAAATAGTATACCAATAATCGGTGTTTCCTCCTGTTTCGGCTCCTTTTTCGGGAGATCTCGCTCCTCCGGCTCGACACTTGCTTGCTCGACCCCAGCAACGCTCAACACATCCTCATTGATGGCCTAAAAAATTGAATGAGAAAGTTAATAGAATTCATAAGTGGGAACAGTAGCAAGACATAAATGTTGCTCACATTATCAAGTTCCTCCTTCGGCGACTTCTCGTCCAACGTCTGATCGACGGGTGGCGACGTGACAGCTCCAATGCCTTCAGCAGCGGACTTCGTCGATTTTCTCCTCGCCTTCTTCTTCTCGACGTTCTTGAGCAAATCTTGCGCGAAGCTTTCTTGGCGAACAGTGCTCTAAAACGAAGTGTTGATAAAAATTTTCATGGTATCGCAAAAGCCTTTTTCAAATGCTAACCTTTCTCCTTCTGGCGTTCGGCTCGGAAATTGTCTCTTTCTGTTCTTGTGGCTGTTGTGGTTCAACCGGAGTCGACTCTTTGCTCGTGCTGGCCACAGACGAATTTCGGAGGGTGCGCACTTGTCTTGCTAAAACAATATATTTTTCAAATTTCAAGAAAAACGAACATATTCTAGCTGGAACTGCGGTGGTGGCTTCCACGGGTGTAGGGCCCATGGTAGGTGGGACGTCTTTCAACACGTCTTTGTCGGTGTCCAGCGAGGCTCGACGACGGGCTTTCTATAATGAACGTAACGTTACTATGAACGAAAGGCGATCCACGTCTAACAACCCGGCCGTGAATCCTAGACATGGCACCCAGCAAAGTATAATCCTTTTTTTTCCTTACTCCAACTTTGCGAAAACGCGGAAATCTTACTTTGCGGGCTGCCGCGACAAGACAAGCTACACAAGGGTCAGACGTAACAACATTTATTAAAAAGTAAAAAATATTAAAAAGTGCTTTCGAAGCAAATAGCATACCACAAAAAAAAAGCAGAACAGCACAAAATTCAAATAAAAAGTCAGAAAAGGTGAAGGCTCACCCTTTTGTTGCCGGACTGCGTCGGAATTTCGAGTGAGAGACGGCGGCGATTCTCGGTGCCCTCGTTTGACTGAAAAAAAGCTACAATAAGGAGGGGTTTTTCTATCCTACAAATTTTCACGCCGTCAAAACTAGACAAATGAACTAAATTCAAAACAATATGCAAGAAAAATCGCGATAATAGAGAGGGGGGTTCGGTTTCCGAACGCCCGCCTGAAACTGATCTCCGGTCAAATTCAATGTTCTAAACTTCCAACTGAGAATTTTCGATAAAACCGCTATTAACATAGTCTCAAAAGACTAAAAAGTTATTACATCTAGACATATCTGGACTTCTAAGAAAAAGCAGCGCAAAAATAGATACCTCGCTCAATGGATTCGCATCGTCCTGGAGTTCAGCCGATTTGAGGTCAACAGCCTCCGCCGGTTGGTTGGAGACCACAGCGTTATTCTGGCTGAGCACATCGTCTTCGTCCTTGGCTAGCACTTGATCCACCACTGCCTCAGTCTTTGCCTTTGATCGCCGAGTGCCGTTTATCGGATTCTAAAAAGAACAAATTCGAACTCAAATCTGCCCATACGTTTTTTAAAGCTTCTTTCGGCTCTTTGGGCGAGTTAGCAAAGCCGTTAGCATCTGGTCGTCGCAGCTAAAAGCAAAGGTTAGGGCAGCTTCTCTAGGTTAGTTACCTTTATCAATCCATGAGCAGCGACGCGCTTCTTTGCCGACGACTTCTTGGCAGTAGAGGGAGGCGCCGCACAAAAAGCATCTTCTGGATCTTCCTCAGCCTTGACACGCGCGACAATCTTCGGCTTTTCTTCTTCGACGCTCGGCACGGCAATCTCTGGTTCCACTGCCAGCGACTCGGTTTTGACTTTGACCAGTGTTGGGGCTAAAAGACAAAATAAATGGAATAGTTCGAATAGCTTACGATTGTGCACCGCCGGTTTGCGTGAACGCTTGGCCCTGGGTTTCTTCTGCGCGTCGTCCGACTTCCGCCAGTACTTCTCCGCCGTGGTCAGGTTGTGCAGACGAGTCTAAAAAACCTCTTTTGTAAGAATCTACAAATTGTCCGTCACAGGCAAAATTTCGTGAAAGCTTGATGGCACTTCGTAGTGCACAATGTGACGGTCCATATTGCCCAATAATGACCGAAGGTCTAGCTGAACAGAAACCGTGAGCCAGGGTTAAAGGGCTACCACTTTAGGATCCGCGTCCTTGCTGCTTGACGGTAAGGTCGGGCTGGGCGGACGAGAATTTCTAAAAAATTATCTTGAAAAATAACGCCCCGCAAAAGCCTACAGCATGGAAGCCAGCGATCGTCGACCATAAGTGGATGTCGGATCGGGGGAATAGCCCCTCTTACGTTTGAGCTCCCGTCCTAAAAAAAAAGATAATAAAAAAGCACAAAGAATAATTTACTGGATCTTTGTGGAGCAGAGCCGTCGCTGTCCAGTGGCGGTTTTGATTCGCTCCGGGAAGCCCGGGAAGAACGAGCCGAATCAGCCGCGGCGGCTGGGCTGCATCTTTCCATGCTGACCTTCGAAACACGACTTTGGCGTCTAAAAAAATAGAAAAATAAGAGCGTAAGCCTAGTTTTGCCGAAAAAAAGCCAGTCAGGAAAACTTACGGCTTGGGTCGTGCCACTGGTGTTTCGCAGGTCACTTGGTTTAATTCCACTGAATGAGCATCATCATCCAGTGAGTCATCCATCCTGGAAAGGAAAGAGTATTAACATAGTCGTCACCGAAACGAAAGGGAGAATGGAGAGTCGAGGCATTTAGAACGTTCACCGGAAAAGGCAAAAACTGTCGATTCCGACTAAATTCGGGATGATGCAATATTTAGCGTCAAATAGGGTTAGACAGAAAGGGCAGGTCCATAAGTAAAAGAGACATTTTCCTGTTTATAGACGCAGGGGGAGAGGGGCGAAATTGTCGATATCCCCTCAGCAAAGTAAAAGAATTTGTAATTCGGCCTAAATACGGCATGATGCAACATTTAGGGACAATTGGGATATCGAGAAAACGATGCTGACTAGCTAAAATTAACACGTTGACGTTGTTTGATGGAGAGAAGCTAAAGTACAAACAAACCGGATTCATAATTTGTAACTAGCAAGACAAACCCGGCCCTAGGATCGGTAAAACCTATCAAACTAGCAAAACGCTCCATTTTAAAGTGGGAATTCAGATACAGTCAATATCTCAAGGCTCTTCGATTCATAAAAGCCAAAATAACGGCAATTCGGGCCGAGAATTTGTAATTAGACAGGTAAATCGGGTGCGGGCATCGATAAGATGGATCAAAATCGGGAAATAGTGGGTTTTCAATGACGATAGTGACAACTAGGGGTTCAATTAGCGTTTGCCGCGAAAACAACCGCATTTTTGGCGAGCTGTGGTTTGTCGTTTCGTAATGGCACGCAGCAATTTTTTGGCAAAATCTTCGGGTTGCGGCTCTGGGCGCGCAAGCATTGCGCCACGAGACCCCGTTTTGCTGCACGCGCACGGGGAAATGCCGTCGATAGAAGCCCTTTGTAGTCGCAAGTAGACAAAAACCTTCGTAAAGCTTTGAAAGAGCTTTTCACACTTCCGGTTTGATAAGGTTCTAAAGAAAGTGGAATTCGAATGACGTTGGCAGTGGAAGATTACGGGCTCGAGCCAGACTTTGAGGCCGACGATCCAGTAGAAGTTGTGCCGAAGAAAAAGGTGATAAACTTTGGAATCGCTCTAGAAAATCTTATTTAGAAGAAGCCCAAGGCCAAAAGTGTTGAATCGATCGAAGAAGAGCACCCAGAGGCGAAGAAAGTGCAGCCAAAAAAGGTATTATATCGAAAACAAGTTTTAACACCATTTAGAAGGCTAAGAAACCGGCTGAGCAGCCAGCTGTCGCACCGGACGTGCCGGAAAACAGTGAAAAAGCGCTGGGCCGGAACAGGAGACGACGTTTGAATAAGGTGAGATTTATTAAACAACGGTTTTGTTTCGCATTATCGGGGTGCGACGAACTTTTTTGTATAGGTCTAGAAATGTCTAATAACTTCATAGCAAGTATTGTAATAGTGTTAAAAACTATCTAAAAACTTTGGTCAAAAGCGGACATTTTTTTGTCGAAAAATCTATATTTTTGTATTTTTTAATGAAAATTTGTAAAGTTTTTGCGCATTAAAAATTTGTAAAGTAAAAACAGTTTTAGAAAGCCGAAACATGCGAAAGGACCAAAAAATGTACAAATTATATTTTTAGATCAAGCAAAAACTGGGATCCGGTGCTCTACCCGGCCCCTCGGAACCAGAACATGATCATCAACAAGAAGCTGATCTCGGGAAGCCAGTGAAGAAATCGGGTCCAACTGAAAAGGTTGGGTTCTTAAAGATGGCAAAAAATCCAGAATTTAGGCGGAGAACAAACCGAAAAAAAAGATGAACAAGAAAGAGGAGCGGGAAACGCCTAGCAACCCATCTGCCAAAGTTGATAGCGACGCTGCTTTGAATAAGGTTTTGATTTGCGGCACTAATGAAAACCTTCAAATTGTATATTTTGAAAATTCCACCGGCTTTTTAGAAAACGAGAAAAAGAACGCTGAAGGAAGACGTTTCAGAAGCTGCTGACGTTGAGGAGAAACCCAAGAAGGTATTTCGTTTTTGAGATGCCAATTTCCGGTTTAGAAAAAGAAGGAAAATATCGCAGCGACCAAGAAGGCAGAAGAAGGGCTTCCGGCGGCTGGTAATTTTTTTTGATTCTTTTTGATCTTTTTAAGGACTTTTTAGCCTACTAATCAAATTTTTAGGATCCAATTTTTGAAACATAAACAGCGGAAATGTTTCTAAGATTTTTCTTACTCTTCCTAAACGTATAGGCTTTACAAATTTGTTAAAAACTACAAAAACGTAGGGGGTTTTTCCACAGAAATTTTGAGTTTTTGAAGGTTTTAGGTAGTTTTACTACTTCAAATATAGTTTCATTTTACAAAAACGCGATTAAAATGCTTGCTATTAACTTGCTAGTCATTTCTAGACATACAAAGAATTTTGGTCCATCATTTCTTTTTTTACGATAAAAACTTACAGACGAACCGTCAACGGCCACACCAAAAGAGGAGCGCCCCAAGTTTGACTACTCGGTGGTGCTGAAGGCGTTGAGCGGGGTGGAGAATGAGCAAGAGGTAGGTGGTTTCGTCCGAAAGTTGGAATTATAAATTTTAGGCCGCCGATTTTCTCGGTCAAGAAGTGGCCGGCGGACGGCTCGGCTACAAGGACATCGGGCATGTGATCCGGAAGTGGCGTCAGGCAAAGGAGCGCAAGGTGAATTTTTTTTAATGAAAACTGGGTTTACAAAGCTATAATACGTATAAATTCAAATTTAAAGGTTAAAAACTGTGTTTCTAGTTAAACCCGAGACCGGATATGAAGGAGCTGTTCGCGTTCGAGGGCAGCCTGGACGAGCTGAAGGCGCTCGTCACGGATATGTCGAAGAAAGGTGAATTATGGGCTTCAGAAATATCTTTTTTTTCTGTTTTCGTGTTCTTTAATAGAAAAAAAACTGTTAATTGATAAAGGGATTTAAAAATACAAAAAAATCGACTTTCGACCAAAATGGCCGTTTTTTTCTCAAAATTTCGACTTTTTGAAAAGTTTCTGAGTTTTTAGGTAGTTTTTTAGTTGCTTTTATTTTAGTAATTTAGTTTTTTATTTTAGTTCTTATTTTATTAAAAACTACGCCCGATAATGCCCAAGAACTCGATAAAAATATACCTTTCAGGGCTCATCCACCGGATTACGGCCGGCAACATCGTGGCAAAGTGGAAGGCGAGAGAGACGCGCAGGATTGGGCGTCAGGTGAAGAAACAAGTGTAAGTGATAACTCATTTAGAAACATTATTGAATTTTTAGGAAGCGCGTCTGCTTGAAATGTCGCGAGCCGGGCCACAAGATCAGCGAGTGCCCACAGATGACCACCGAGGTTGGGCGCTTCAAGAAAAACTTACCTATTTTTAGGAGGGTGTTGATATCTGCTTCAAGTGCGGCTCGACGGAGCACAACATTTACAAGTGCCCGCGGAAGGATAAAGTGAAAGGTGAGCTTTAAAATAGATTCTTTCGCCTTGCCTGGGGGCACCTCCTTTTTTCTTTTCTTTGTTCACTTTTTTAAATATAGATAGCTGAAGTGTTTTTCTAAACTGCTGGTCAATATTTCTAAACATAAAAACTTTACAAATTTGTATTAAGCAATGCAAAAATATATTTATTGCGACCGAAAATCGCCGTTTTGACCAAAATTTCGAGTTTTGGAAGATTTTGAAATTTTTTAGATAGTTTTTATAGTCTAAATATAGTTTTATTATCGTAAAAACATGGCTAAAATACTTCCTATGAAGTTACTAGACATTTATAGTCTTCTACATAAAAAAAATTTTCTCCGAACAAACCCAAAAACGACTGTACAATTTTATTTAGGTTTCCCCTACGCCACCTGCTTCATCTGCAAGCAACAGGGCCATTTGTCGCGGGACTGCGACGATAACGACAAGGGGATCTACCCGGATGGTAATTTAAACGTTATAATTTTGTATGTTTTTTCTTTTCAGGTGGTTGCTGCAACATTTGCGAGTCGAAGCAACACCTGATTCGCGATTGCCCGAAGCGATTGGCCTCTTCCGGAGTTACAGTGGAGGCTGAGGAATTGCGAGGTAAGGTTTTAGGTACTAGGCTATTAGCGGGGGTGTTATGCCCCTGTTTAAAGTTAAAAAGCCTTTAAAAAGACGTTTGAGTTGTTAAAATTTTCAAACTTTTCAAATTTGCAAGAAATGTGTTGGGGCGTTTAAGTAATCAAGGACTATTAACATAAAAATCGGCTAAATCTCATTCCACCCCCCCCCCCGCTAACAGTCTAGTGCCGTTTTTCTTTTTTCATCTATAACCCCCGAATTTTTCAGCCAAAATGGCCTTCGACCCGAACGTGCACCGCTCGGCCGACGACGACACGTTCGATTTTGAAGTGGCCGAGGTGGCGAAGGAGGGCGAAGCCGACAAGCCGCCGAAGCCCGCCAAGCCTGCGAATAAAGCCACAAAGAAAGTTGTCAAATTTTGATGTTGTTGTTGTGTTTGTTTTGGATGTGTTGTTGAGTTTTTTGGAATTGTTGATTTGTTGAAAGTTTATTGGGCAATAAAATGTTGGCTTCTTTATGGATGTGGTTTTGTATTGAAGGTTTTAATCCCTTGATATTTATTAAAGATCTCGATTAGAAGAAGACTAATTCATTTTATTTGGTTTTCTTTGTCTCTAGTAAGCCTTCTTCGCTTCTTTCGCATTATCGGGGAGGGGGAAGAAAATGTTTTTCTTAGGAATTAATTAGTTTTGGAAGCGCTTCTAAACTGTTTTACTATCCCTAAACATAAAAAATTTTACAGAAATTTGATTAAAACAACACAAAAATAACTATTTTCGACGGAAAACCGCCGTTTTTGGCCAAATGTGGATTTTTCCAACATTTCCTTCCAGATGCTTCGCGGCCTAAATTTTGTTGCGCGAAGATGCCGCCAGGGCACGTCGATGGCCAGATTATCATCGACGGCAGCACCTGGTATGTAATATTAATTTAAAATGACCTTTTTGTGTGCTTTAGAAACGCCTTCCGTCGAGGAAAAACCCTGGGAGAACCCGTGGAAACATGCGTTGCCCAAACAAGGTAAAGAAAATTCATTCTTTTAAACCTCTGCCTTAGAAAAGACATTCACCGACTACGAGGAGCTGAAGATAGATTTCAGCGTGGTTGAGAGTTTGCTTCCAAAAGAGGTAAATTATCTTTTTAGAGAGTCCAAATCTTTAGATTATTCCCGAGGTGCCGCAACATGAGAGCTATCCAACGGCGAGCGGGTGGCGGCCACCATTAGGTAAAATTCTGGTCCTTTCACATTATCGGGGAGGGGGGGAGGAAACCAAACAGTTTTGTATAAGTCTAGAAATGTCTGTAACTTCATGGGAAGTTTTTTTAATAGTGTTTTTAGTAAAATTTACTATATTTAAGCTTGAAAAACTACCTAAAAACTTCAAAAACTTGAGAAAATTAAAAATGTCGGCTAAGAAAACGTCATTTTTGATCGGAAAACCATATTTTTGCATTTTTCAACGAAATTTGTAAATTTTACATGTCTAGAAACGGTAAAACCCGTTTAGGAACAATGCCACTATTCAGATCTGAAAACTGAATACTAATAAAAAATTGCTCCCCCCGATAATGCGAAAGGAAGAAAATCTAGAAAACTAGGAAAAAGAAAGGTGTTCTAAGAATCTGGTTTCATTTTAGATCCCCCACCGACCCTTCCCTACTATGTGCGCCGGACTCGAGAACACGTCTTTCCGCTTTATCTTGAAAGGTCTTTTGTTTTTCGCATATTTTACAATTCTGAGTTTAGAAAAAGAGATATGCTGAACGAAACGACGCTGGATTTCGACTACGTCGAGCTCGTGACGGTCAAGCACGTTGAAGGGGATGTTTTCGTGAGTTTTTTTACTTTTAACAAGTAGTTCTCTTTTTAGGCATTCGAGGCCGATCTGCGCTCATTTCTGGAGAAGGAGCTCGGGCAGCCGGTCGCCACGCATATTGACGAGATGAAGGTAAAATTTAGAAAATTATTTGTAGATCTATTTAATTCATAAATTCTGTATAAAAATTTCTAGGGCCGAATACGAGTGAAGGGCGCCGATCGATCGCTTCTGGAGCGCTTCCTCTTCGAGAAGGGCTTCTGAATCGTCAACAGCGGAAAGGGATCTCATTTTCTAGCGTTTTTTTTGTTCAGAATTTCCCCGCCAGGACTAGTGTTGCGATTGTTGTGTTTGATTTCATCGTTGCGCGCCGTTTTTGTCAATAAATTATTTTCGTCGAAGCTTTGTCTTTTCCGGTCATCGGCAACTTTCCGCTTGTTACGTATATTTTATTGACTTTTTTCTTAGGATTTATTTTTCAAAGATAAATAGTGGAAACGTTGCTAAACGGTTTTTACGATTTCTAAAAGTGAAAAATTTACAAATTTCTATCAAAAAAACTTCAAAAATAATTTTTGACCAAAATTTTGACGTTTTCAAACCTTGTTTAAAGTTTTAAAAGTTTTTTCTAGTCGAAATCTAGTTATTGTGCCGATGTCTCAATAAACCCGGGGAAATGGGCTGTGGTAATTTCACGGGCTGTCAAGGCCTTCGGGCTCACTTTTTATTTGCTCTCACTCTCTCTCTCTCTCTCTCTCTCTCTCGCGGTCTCGCGCTATACCGGTAGGAAGGACCGGGAAATCCTGTTTTCGCGGACCCGAATTGAAAAAAGGGGGACGGTCTTTTGTGTGTGTCTGTCGCTGAACTGTATGTTTGACTGTCGGCATGTGGTCGCGAATTACTCATCCTCGTTAGCCCCTTCCCCCCTGGACAGTCATTCAGTCCTTCATATTCTGAACGTTCGCCAAAATCGATAAATGCCGCTAAAAGGGCTGAAGAAATCGATAAATTCTTGTCTATGCAATCGGCTCCAAAAGGGGGACCTAGTTAATCGGAATTCGTTTTATGCGCCTGCCGACGATGAGCAGGGATTGGTATCTTTTTTCAGGTTTTTAGAAAAGTACAGCAATTTTGGGTTCTTGCGCATTATCGGGGGGGCTTTTTGTATAGATCCTGAAATCCCTAGTAACTCTATAGCAAGATTTTAATAGTTTGTACTTAAATAAAAATATATTTCAAATGGAAAAGCCATCTAAAAAACTTTCAAAAAGTCGAAGTTATGGCGAAAAATCTATTTTTTGGTTTTTTTAATCAAAATTTGTAAGGTTTTTACGTTCAGGAATAATAAAAAACAGTTTAGCAACACTTCAGCTATTTATATTTGAAAAATCGGGACCTAAGCAGAAAATTTAAGAGACTTTCCTTCGTTGAAAAAGTCGTACACAATTTCGATGTGTATTTTGCAGCTAAACAATAGAAAATAAAAATTACGGATTGTTTTTCAGTACGCAAACTCGCCGGAGCCGCTGTGCAAAATGGTGGTGATCCCAATAGTGAGTTGAGCGTTGCTTCTTTTTGAAATTTTCGTTATTTAGAACCACAACGAGCCCGACCCGGCGCCGCCGCCAAGGCCAGGGGTATGAAAACTTATTATAGGCTCGAAAAATGACTCACTTTAGAGGCCCGCAAATCAGCAACAACCCCCTCAGCAATATGGAGCAGTGACCGTGGCGGGGCCATCGACGGTAAAACTAGCAAAAAATTTCGAAATCTTTAATTTTAGCAAAACTGGTGGGGCGAGGGGCTGCCGCCGCCCTCGTTTCGCAAGCCGACCAACCCGCTGCCGTGGAACGCGGTTCAGAATAGGGTAAGGGTGGGGATTCATAGCGAATTTGGGAAATTTCGTAGCTCTTTGAAGCAAGCTGGCGAAGTTTTTTGTGGAATTTGGAATTCAGCGGGATTAGAAATCAATCAGCTTTGCTTGACCGGCTTAGTTTTGAAACATTTTTTCCGAAGATTGTTTGCGATCCGGGGCACATGAATCGGGTGATCTAGCAGGGTTTCTTCTGGAATTTTCGTCTCTTCGCGGCCAGCTGGTGGAGATTATTTGCGGAATTTACGCTTCCGAAAGGTCGTTATCGCCATTAGAATTTTATTAACTTTTCTTTGCCGGCAGGGTTTTTTGAAATATTAATTTTTTTCACAAAATTAATGGCTATCGGGGACGTGGATCGGGCGCTAGGAGGGTTTCCGAGGGGATTTCCGAAGTTTTCGGGCTAATTGGCAGGGATTCGTTGTGGAATTGGAATCTAGAGACGTTACATGAAGCTCTAAGTATATCAACATTCACTTGCCGAAACCGGCTAACCTTTGAAACATTATTTGTTTTTGGAAAAGTTTCTACTTTGAGGTTCTTTCGCATTATCGGGGGGGCGAGCCGTTTGTATGAGTCTAGAAATGACTAGTAACTTAGTAGCAAGTGTTTTGATTGTTTTTGTAAAAATAACTAGCATTGTACTAGACTTTCTGACAACATTTAAAAATATATTGTCGTAATTTTGGTTCCATAAACAAAAATATCGATATTTTTGGCATTTTTAAATAAAATTTTGTAACCTTTGCACGCGTATGCCGCGTAAATACCATTTGGAAACACTCTGACTATCTATATTTGAAAAATTAGATCTGGTGAAAAAGCTGCCGCCCCCCCGGTAATGCGAAAGAACCGACTTGCTACAGACTCCTAGATCCTACAGACTCCTAGATCCGTATACTAAATTTAATACGTTTAATGCAGGTTCATTTCAGCCAAAACCCCAAGCCCAAGCCCCGCCCCCAAGCGAGGCGAGCGATCTGGAGCGACGGCTGCAGGAGGTCCGGAAAATTGATGGTAAGTGATTTTTATACCTTTAAAGCGTAGAAAACCTGGGCAAACTAGCAGGGATCTTTATGGCATCGTGAAAAGTCTATAAATTGATTTTTAGAAGCCAAAAACGCCGAGCCAAAACGACCGGCCACCCTGGAGGAGCTGGAGGAACGGCTGGCCGCGCTGAGGGGCTGTGATGTGGAGCTGATCCGCAATCCGAGAGTTGTAAGTTGTTTTATTGTTATAAAAACGTTGTAGAAGATTTTTATAGAATTTTTGTTAGGAAATCTGGATTCTTAAAATTTTACGCTTGCTTGCACGTATGCGCATTAAACGTGCCGAGAGAGCGCAGAATTATTTTTTTTAACCGTTGAATTTCACGCCGCACGCCAAAAAAAAACAATAATTCCTTTGGTAATCCTAATAATATTTCATTTTTAGCCGATTAATTGCAGTTTAGGAAAGTTTCTTGTTTTGTTTTCAATAACGTTTTGATCCAATAAAAAATAAAAGTTTTAATTGAATAAAAAATATATAATAACCGTAGTAAAATATACTAAAAATATATCTAATAACGAACATTTTAAGAAATAAAAAAAAACTTTTTATTGGTTTTTCGATCCCGATAATTTGTTTTGCAAGAAAAAGAATTTACGTCCATCCTCGAGAAAGTTATGATTAGTTTTCTTTTTCGGCCGTAATATACCTATTTTCTTGAAACATTTTAATTTTTTTGAGAAGTTTGAAATCTGTTTTTCTTTCTGATTTACTGAAAAGATCCATTTTTCAGTGGTTTGACCCAAAACCGGGCGCCGACCTCGAGAGCGACACGCCGGCCGGGCTGATCAACATGGCGATGGACCGGCAGAAGATTGAGGACAACGTCGATCGAGACTTGGATGACAAATTTCAGAGGTATTTTAATTATATAAATTACGTACGCTTATACAAGTGATTTATATTGTTAGTATTTAGGTAATAGTTGTACTTTTTCACCGATTTTTGTAAAACAAAAAGCATTTTTTAGAATTCGGGCCCGATACCAGGGCGAGCAGCGGGACCCAGCTGGAGAACCGGACTCCAGTCATCAAGGTAGTTATAAAATTTCATTTGTAGTTTTTTAGGTGTTTGTATTTTCTAGAGATTTATGGTTTGTAATATTTATCGAGTTGTAGTTTGTAGTTTTTATAGTTTAATTCTTGTTTTTAGACGACCCTCGACGCTCGCAAGTCTCTGAGTTTTCTCAAAACACCGAATTTTCCGAGGCGACCAATGAAGAGTTGAGGCAGATTAATGGTAGGTTTTCGGCTGGCCGTCTCTCTCACTCTCTCACTCTCTCTCTCGCTCTCTATTTTACGCTATTTTTTAGAATTAATGTCCGCCGCGGAAAACAAAGCTCGCCGTCAGCCAAATCCGAAGCCGACTGACGACGATTTGGACAAGGAGGCGAGGACCGTCTTGGCGGCTAGTAAGTCGATTTTTAAGCCCTTTTTTGTATTTGTCTTGATATTTGTTGATTTCAATTGACTGGAGATATTAATATTCTTTTTTGGAATTGAGTGCCAGTACATCGCCCCATTAATCCCGCAAAGCTCTACCATTTCCCCCCCATTGAAGTTGTAACATTTAGTTTTGGAAAATTCATTGCGCATTTCTTTTATCCTACTATATATAAAAAAATAGTGTTTGTGTGTGTGTGTGTGTGCCACTTTGCATCCACTTCCGTGTGTCTGTCCGGAGGATATCTCGATGGGGGATGAATTTTAAGGTATGTGTGATACGTCATTAGGTGCGCAACGATCTTGAGATGACTGCACACATATCAGATTTTACAAAATTAGCTTTTTTGACATTAAATTTATGTTTTTGTGAAAACTTCTTTGTTAGGAATAATTAGCATAGACCGGAAGTGGGGAGTCGACTATATTAAGGGGCCGAAGAGGGCGTTTTTCATTTTTTTTGTCATCCCAATTTAAGACAATTATGCAAAGTGAGGATAAAGAGGGGGTCAGGCGGGGGCCAGGGTTGAAAAGTCGCGAAGCGGCTTTTCAACCCTGGTGAGATTTTAATTCATTACGAATAACTTTGATTATTTAATAATTTAATTAAATACGAGAATTTAAGAAATTTATGAGAACTGAGACTTGATCGACTATTAATATATATTTCTAATTTCATCATTTATTACATCTTGAGGAGCGGATTTCTGTAGATTTTCATTTTATCGGGGTTAGCGGGCGTAGCCCGCTAACCCCTTTTGGTTTGAGGTATGTTACCTTCTTCGTAAAAAAACGGAAGCCAGGACAATAATGCAACAGCGCTAAAATCCGGGAATCGTGCCTGATTTGTAGCATTTTTTTTTGCAAAAATTGGTTGATGCTTTAGGGTATTTTCAGCTGGTTTTTTTAAAAATATTTAGTTTTAGAAAATTGTAATGAGGAAAAACAGATAAGCTTCTATGTAATCAACTCAATTTCCAGCTCGCCAAGCCTCCATCGACATCAACAAGATCAACAGCGAATTCTCCAATTTTTACCAGAAGCGGATTGATGATACCAAGGTACGGTATGGTTCCTTATTTTTATTCTTCTAGTTATTTCTTAGCCTTCTTACAAATTTTTTAAATAGTTTTAAAAATTGTTAATTTTAGGTAGACGATGATGAAGATTCAAATTCGAGCGGCAGCCTGGATGCCGAGACACTGAGGCAAATTATGGAAGAAGCGGAAAGGGCAGAGGATGAAGAAACGAGAAAAGAGGTGAAAGAGAGAGAGAGAGAGAGAGAGAATGCTCATCGCTAGCTTGCTGTTGCACTTCTCGAATCCGTCAGAGGGCCTAAAAAACGGATGTAATTTCCACAAAGACCTCTGCTAGCCCGCAGCCGCTTTGAATTGATGCTAAATGCCTGAAGAACAATTCTGCTTTTCCCCAAGGTTCTCAGCTAGCTTGCCCGGGTTACCATGGAAAACTTTGTTTTCCTGGCCTTTCTGGCTCCGTTAAAACAACTAGCACCGATAGACCAGCGCTTGATTATAGCTTGTAAAGCGTTCCGGAATACATTTTTTAGTGTAACAAATTTTTTCAAAAAATTCTTTCAATTTTCTAAAAATGATCATTTTTTAGGTCCACCAGCAAATGGCCGCCCAGCGTCCAGCACCTCCAGAAGCCTCGAAAAAGCCCGGATTTTTGGGGAAATTTTTCAAGAAATGATTTTTGAAGCGGCCAGAGCTTGAATCTTTTAAATGTGCCACATATCCTATCTTATAAGCGAGAAAAGTATGTCTGTTTTCTGTGCAGCCGATTTCTCGGCCGTCTGGCCGAATTTCGGGCTCATTTTTGGCATGGAGGTGGAGAAACACTTTTGCCAGACACACATTTTTTTGTTTTTCGAAATTCCTTTTTTTAACAATTTTACAAGCAAAATGGTGAAAATCCTTAACAAAATGGGCTACGAGCCGTGGTGTCCGGGCCATAACTCGCAGCCCTGATGGAATTTCGGGCTGAGATTTGGACCACTTATGTATTCGATAGTGGGGATCACGCGCATCTGATTATCTTTACAAATTTTTTGGCGCATTCAGTCTAAAATAGCGATTTTTGTAAGGTTACCAGAGGTCCTCCCTGCCGGGTTAGACCCGCCCCAGGACAGAAGAGGCCTTTTCGGCCACCCGTCCCCATGCCCCCCTTTGGTATAGTGCCTTGGCGCCCGCACTACCGTGCGCATAGTCGAGGGTTCGGATCCTCGGCGCATGTACCTTTTTGCTTTTTGATGGTTCATCAGCAAAGCATATTTCGAGTCTCTCGGTATCCGAAATTTAGGCCAGTCCCTCGCTCTAGCGCCGCAGGCCAAAGAAAATATCCTTAGCCCGGTTTCTAGCGCCGCAGGCCAACTGCTGGAGAAAAACCAGTATATAGCGCCGCAGGCCAGAGAATGGTTCCTAGAGACATGCACTTGCGCCGCAGGCTGTGAAAAACGGAAAGGGAATATATGATTCCTAGACGGGGCCAGTGGAAAAGGGTCGCGAAGCGGACTTTTTCCACTGGTTGTATTTATAAATTGTAAACTATAACTTTTTCGTACTTTCCCAGGTTGTTTTTCGCTCCATTTTTCGGTGTGTTTTTTCTAAAGAAAGGCTGCCCTCAGATTTGGATTGTATTCTGATGCCCTAATTACCATTGAAATACTATAGACGTTTCTCTATCCTATTCTCAGCTTTTTTGGGGCCCCAAAAAAGGTGGGCCTTTCATTGCTCGGACAATGGCCCACATCTGATTTTACGGTACATTTATTTGGCTGTGATTTGTGAATAATATTTCTCTCAGATTCGTCACCGAATCTCGTCGATATTTTATTGGAATTGCCAGCTCTTGTGCATTATCGGTGGGGCTAATTTTTCTTATATAAGTCTAGAAGTGCCTAGTAACTTAATTTTAAACCGCCTTCCCCCCCCCCCCCGATAATGCAAAAGCACCGTTTTTATCTGGTCGCTAAAAATTATTGTGATTCAGCTTTTTTCGGTATTAGGTTGTCACTTAGTGATCGTAATGTGTAAAACGTCTTTATGTTAATTTGGTTCCGTGTGTGTGTAATTGGAATAGAAACGTCGCTTTCCGGAAAATTGCGTAACCCTAAAAAGCGAGCTGATACTTAGAATCAAAACTGGACAACACTATAGAAAATATCTTGGCTTGAAAACAAAACAAAAATGTGTTTTGCTCCACCGATAATACGAAAAATCGAAATCGAAATCCAATCGGAAGGTTCAACAAAATCATGTTTCGGCTTATCGACATTTCCGAAAAAAATTTTCACTAAAATTCCAAGAATTTAGGGCAGTAGGGCCGGCGGGCCCAGCTGGCCGTTCAGCTAATTCAATTTTGGTCGTATATCTTTCTTTGGGGGGCAGTGGATTTCAGGCTACGCGCCCCATCTTATCCGTTTTTGTCTCGGCTAAACACGTCGGCTCTGCTAGCTGGCAGAGAGCGTCTGGTCAAATTTATCCCTATTTCGTTTGTTTTGCGAACGGCTCGAAAATCGGTGCGGTTTTTCTGGGGGGTAGTCGCCAAAATTAGCGTTTCATTTCAGAACATTTTTTAGAGGATTCTCGTATCGGCGTATCCTCGTATTCTGATCCTGGCAAGCTGGAAGCTGATTTTAAAAAAATGTTGCAAAAACGGTACCTCTCTTGCGATCCGGAGGGAGCCCAATTGGCATGATCTCGTCTTGGTTTGAAAAATTTCAAGAAGGCGGGAAAAAAAGCTGTTGTAACAAACAACTTATTGTTACAACAATTTTTTTATTTTACGTTAATTCGGGCTGCAACTCAAAGCCTTATTATATTTTTAACGCTGTGACAAATTTTGTAACATCGAAAATCTCGAAAACTAGCTTTCCGCTTTGGAAATCAAGTTTCGATCTATAACTATTTTAGATTACGCTATTTGAGCTGAAACACATGCTCTGACCATATTTTTCGCTTCTTTATCGAATGTCGACCCCAAAATAGTGAAAATCATCTTTCCAACCCGATTTCAGCGGTTTATTTGTGTTTTTAAACTTTTTAATATCGTGCACTATTCGAGCTGGCATGGAAACGCTGAGTATATTTTTCGATGCTCTATGGAACCGCATCGAAAAACCCCGAAAAACTAGCGAAAATGACGTTTCAAGCTAGGGGCGGTAAAAATACAAAAAAAATCGTCTTTAGGACCCAAAAAAATTTGGTTTCCCCGAACCCCCCGGATAAGAGGAAAGTCCAAATTAGTCTCTACTTGCACGCGCCTTTAAAGTTTCCAACCCAGACAATGGAATTACTCAACCTTAAAACCTTCCCAGCAGCTTTTCCTTTTTTTACTGTTTCCAACTTCCGGGCGACGGTAAATCATTTTTGGGAGGGTCTCTTCTCTTCTTTTCGAAAGGAAAGGGTCTTTAGTTTCTCTTTAGTGTCTCGGACTAAAGACAAAAACGACAAAAAGGACACGCAAAAAGACAAAACGGCTTTTGGGTGTCTCTTTGGGGGAAGCGATAAACGAATTCGACGAGGCTTCTTCTCGGCCAGGCAGAGGAGAGCGGCCGACACTTGCCGAAAACGTTGAACGGCCATCATCTTCTAGCCGCCATAATACATGTCGTCATTTGTAGCGGCGAAATCCATTAGTCATAAAACCTTTAGTCATAACCTCATTAGTCATAAATCCATTAGTCATAAACCCATTAGTCATAAATTCCATTAGTCATAAACCCATTAGTCATAAATTCCATTAGTCATAAACCCATTAGTCATAAATTCCATTAGTCATAAAACCATTAGTCATAAATTCCATTAGTCATAAAACCATTAGTCATAAATTCCATTAGTCATAAAACCATTAGTCATAAATTCCATTAGTCATAAATTCAATAGTCATAAATTTTATTAATCATAGATTTTGAGGTTTGAGTGTTGAGTTTTGTGTTTTGAGTTTCGAGGTTTGAAGTTAGAGGTTTTGAGGTGTATGTGATGGTCCGTGTCGTGTTCTTGAATCAAACTTCTTGGTTACACGTGATCGGATATCATTAAACCTATTAATTTTGGATTGGTTAACAGGATTATGTCAGAGAATAACATTTCCAAGCAATCAGTTTCATAACATTATGACTATCGGAATTTATGACTATTGAAATTATGACTAATAAAATTTATGACTAATGAGTTTATGACTTATGGAATTTATGACTAATGGGTTTATGACTAATGGAATTTATGACTAATGGGTTTATGACTAATGGAATTTATGACTAATGGGTTTATGACTAATGGAATTTATGACTAATGGGTTTATGACTAATGGGTTTATGACTAATGGTTTTATGACTAATGGTGCGAAATCCATTTGTAGTGTAGGGGAGATATATTTTTCTTTTTCTTCTTTTTTTTCTTTATTTTTCGTTTTTTGAAATTTGTCTTTTTGAAAGAATATTGTAAAAAAGTGTTTTCCTAAAGACTCAAAACCAAGAAATGCGGCTCCCAATTTTATGAAAACCTGACCTAAATAGTAAGTGTTTTAAAAATATTTTCGGTAAAATGTAACTATATTTCCGCTAGAAAACAACGCAAAACTTTCACTTTCAAAATGTTTCAAAACGTCGCTTTTGTATTATTGAAGCAAATGTTGTAAGGTTTTTACGTTTAGAAATAGGCAAAAAGATAATTTCTCTCCGATTTTCGAAAATCCTGAGTTTTCTTACATTTACTAAAAATTTTGCAAAATCTTTGTTTTTTTTACGAGAATTTATCAAAAAGTGTTTCAACAACGTTTAAAAAACAGAAAAGTTTGCCTGTCGTAGTTTCCAAATGGTTTCGTCATCGTAGTTTCAGATTTACTTTGCTATAAACTCTTCTACAACTTTTCCTTAATTCAGATTTAATTTTTGCAATTGAAAAGTCGGTGTTTCAAATCCGTTTTCACTACCAGGTCAACATATTTGCCTGTTCTTGTTCATTTACAGTATTTTTAAAGTTTAAAAGCTTGCAAGTGGTTTTTAAAAAGGCTCTTAGCGTTTAAAAAGTGATAGTCGAAAAACTGTTTGATATTAAACGGTTTGATTATTACAGACTCGTCACCACCGTGGTCGGTGTCTTTGAAAATATCTTTG